TTGTATTGCCAATTATTGATATATTGTGATCGGCGGTACCTGTCAACAGGTAACGCCCGCCCTTACATTCCCCCGGCATTCCGTGAGAAGTTTTTGCAACATTGCACAATTTGTCTCATCCTGGCATTCATGCATCAACAAAGTTAATACGTTTTCGGTTTGTTTGGTCTTCCATCCGTAAAGATTGCACAAACTGGGCACGGCAGTGCATTCCGTGCCAGAAAGCAAAAGTAAGCAGACATACTAGAACCCCGTTAATGAAGTTTCCAGACCAATCACAGAGATTTGATCACGTCCACCTTGACCTTATTGGTTTGCTACCTCCTTCCCAGAATAATTATTACTGTTACTATGACAGATAGGTTTACTAGATGGCCCGAAGCAGTACTCAAACAAGACATAACTGCACGCACAGTAGCACAGGCTTTCTACGACCACTGGATTACTCAATTTGGTTGTCCGGCTGTTATTACTACTGACCAAGGGTGACAGTTAGTAAAAGGCTTATTTCGAGCCCTTTCACTGTTGTTGGGAATCAAGAGAATCAAGGCGTCTCTGTACCACCCACAGGTGAATAGACTTATCAAGGTGTTTCATCTTCTTTTAAGAGCTGCCTTAAAAGCGTACGATACCAATCACTGGGTGGCTGCTCTTCCAACGCTCTTCATGGGTTTCTACTCCACTCTCAAGGAGGACATAAGAGCAACCACTTCTGAACTTGTGTATGGAAAGACTATCCGTCTCCCAGGAGAATTTTTCAATTCCGACACCTCCGGATGCGTCCCCCAAACAGTTTGTGGAGGATTTAAAATCTCATTTTGCCAGTGTCCGCCCGACCACGACTTCTAGCCACGGTCAGCGAACATGTTTCATTCATCCACGCCTTCACAAGTCCACATATGTGTTTGTTCGACACGACGGAGTTAGAAAACCACTTCAAACTCCTTATGATGGACCATTTAATGTGCTAGAAAGACGAGATAAAACGTTTGATCTCGAAATAAAAGGGACTAAGCAAACGATCTCCATAGATAGACTGACACCCGCTTTTGTAACCATGGACTCTTTTCAAGTTGCTTCCAAGAGTGTGAAAAAAACTTCGGACATTTGTATCACCCGTTCTGGACGATTAATCCGACCCCCGCATCGGTATGTCACATTTCGTTGACACTGCGGAGGGAGTATGCAGCGGCAGCGCCAAACAGGCGATACAGACTTAAAAACTGTACAGAAAAGCGCCAATTGGCGAAACAGTAAACCCGTTTGGCAAACCTACAGGCTGACGGGAAGAGAAGAATTTTCCCCTGCAGTTCTGGGTAACGATTTCAGTCTGTGTGCGCGCAACTGTAAAACAACTCGTCTTGTGCCTTCCACGTGATATGTAACTTCGATCTGGGACTGCAGCCTTCCTTAAGCCATTATTATGTATCTATATTACTTCTCCTTATTAAATCTCATTCTTAATGTTAAATGCCTATCTCAATTAAGATTGCTATTTTTCTAGGTAAGGTTATCTATACTTTTGTAGGCACGCGTAACTCGCGCGTACCTCATACTTATTATCATATACTTCTTACCTTTTCACCATTAATGGAAAATTTATTTTTCCGGTTAATGAAGACAAAACAAACCAAAAATTAATATCGCATCATACTCGTAACATCTGCAGTTTCATTTGAATGTAACCCAAAATAATTCTTTGTAAGCTAGGTAGAATCACATTTGTGATTGCACTCCAGTTCTTTTACAGCTGGTCGAGAGAATTTGTCAGGACTAAGTGTTCTATGCATACTCTTGGCAAACATAATGGTGACAGTATCAAGGTCAGGATCTCGAACAGTGAGCTGAATGCAGCTATGTTCTTGTGAGTGCTAGAAGACTTACAACGTAAGAAGGGTGTAAAAGACCCTTTTATTTAAATCACTATTTACAGCAACTCCCAGCTCGGGAATGATAACAGAAAAATAATGACCCCGCTTGGGTCTAAACTGAACAATCAAACAATTTAAAGTAAAGCTTAAGTAGAAATTCAAATAGTCGCAGTTCTCAGAGCTTAAACGCGAGATTGGCCTATCTTTGGTGCGTAGCAAGCCTTAGCTAAGTACTAACGCCCTTAAATCACTTCGATAAGTATTAGAGTAATAGCGCTAAGTCGTAAGAATTTAAATACTAACTAATCTGGCGAACGTCCACCGAGCCGAAGTGGTCTGAGACTAAAAGCTCTCTCACCCTTGGGAAGTTTCTCACTAACCTTTAAATACAAAACTTGGCTCCAATACAAATTAACATAAAGCTGAACCGCGCGCTCATTCTGAAGGCAAGTTGAAATAAGAATTTACAGGAAAAGGTAACTTAAAATAAAAAGAAATTTGGTTAGTTTAAATTTAAACCTTACAAATTAACATCTACTGTATGTGTAAATAGCGAACAAAACAGTAAGAAATTGGAACAATTACCTGTGGACAACTTGTATTCATAGCATTCTAAAATGAGCTTTCAGTAAAATCTGAGTGCAAATAAAACAGTAGTAATGAACGAATGTTTTTTCACGACGTGGGTCCAACACTTTCACAGCAGGGTTATTTAATGTATTCTGCAGAGATATTGATGTATGGTTTGTTGTAACTGCTGTATACAAATGTGTGGTTCAGAATTCCACAGCAGCATTTGGCACAACTTTCATGGTTGATGGTATAATATGGAGGTACAAAAAATTAGCATTATCACACTAACTGCAAAATGGCTTATATTTCTAAAACTGGGTCAACACATTTCATGCAGAAAGAAAATATTATCCAGTTTTATACTTAAATCAAGGTCACTGAAATGTGGTAAAAGCAATTTGCTTAAGAAAACAGATGCCTCTGTGGAGGACTTTCTATGGAAAACTAGCTTTCATTCCCATTATACAGGGGGAAAACCAATGTCGTGTAATATAATAATCTATTAGTACAGTAAATACATTTAATTTCTTTGCATTTATTTATGTCATGCTGTTTTTCGTGTGATTTAGCATGATAACCTTATAAGTTTATTTGGTTCTGATGATGGTCTGCACGTAAGGAAGTAAGACAGTAAGTCACCTGTTGCGAGAATACCAAGTTATTAATATTTATGTAAAATTCTGCAATAACTTTTCATATCATAAGAGATTTACCAATGTGTATATACTTACATGTGTAGTTATTATGCAAGATCTATAGAAAATATCCAAAATTACCATGACATTAATCACACTGTGCAAACAGGCAAGACATTATACAGTAGGAGAAAATTAACTAATATTTTGGGGAATGAAATGCTATTTTACACATGGGAACTGTTAAAACAGCTGAGAAAAATTCATGCTTTTTCTCCTACAATTACAGAATATATATATATATATATATTGTTTCATAAGAATAAAAAGTAAAGTTAAATTTAAATAATTCTCATGCGCCATTGCTGCAAAGAATGAAATTTGATTTAACAAATATTCTCTATTGATATAAAGTTAATTTAAATTATGAAATTTTAATTGCATACATATCAAGATTAATTATTGCTGAAACTAATTTTCTATAATATCATTTAAATTCTGAGAGAGCATATGTAAATTAAATGCACGTATCTAAAACCATGAAAAAATATATAATATTCCAAAAAATTAATCCCAATATATATATATATATATGAAAGACAGGCATATGCATAATTTCTGTTAGAGAAACAGTTTCTCCGAGATTACGTTTTAGAATAATTAAAACGCGAAATGATAAGTTGATGGTGATATTATTACTGTATTCCAAAATTCGCAGGAATTAATGATTTCGATCATTACTACGAAAAAAAACGGAATAAAAAAGAAAGAATCCTGATACAGGAACATTAAAAATTTGAGTGTTTACGTATAAAAATATATAATATTCTCATATAGGTCATTTAAGCATAGTCTTTGAATCAGTAACATTTCCAGAAATATTTCAGTTTTCATAATGTAAAGTAAAAACCAACCTGTATTTGCAGAGAATATCCATTGGCAGTTGCCTTCAAAAAAGGTCTCAATTCGTTGAAGGAAACCGATTTAATCTGATTCTACTGTTGAATTCACGCTCCGACATTTCAAAAAGATTACGTCGAGCAAAATCACTTCAGCCATCTTGTTTACAGTCGCTGTTAAGAGTTTGTGGCAGGTCAGAAGTAGCCGCAAAATTCCTCTATGGTAGTGACGTATTTTCAATAGGTGTGTCCGAAAAGCGTTGCACTTGAATCCGGTTTTGCAATGCAAGTGCGACTACCATGACAAGCGTTGCACTTGAATTCGCCCCTAAAACTCTCAGTTTCCTATCGAACTCTCAGTGGTTCGTTATCACGTGACAGTCTACTTGCGCCTCAGACGAAAGCAAACAAATTTCTGGGACTTGTATATATTATTTTCTATTTTTACTGTACGATACTGTGTCAAATCTACGATAATGTGTAAAAGATATGCCATTGCGAAAATCTATGCCAAAGTTATTAGTTGCTTATCCAACGAAGACTTCATCTGTGGCCGATATATAGCGTCACGCCTGATCAACTTCTTCACAGAAGACTGTGCCCTTTTACTACAAGGGCACAGGATTTTTCCATTTTTATGGAATTTAACGAACTTTTACAGGTCCTTAGCGGATTGATAAACATATAGTGGTAAAGGCCTTCGGGTCCAACACCACTCCGATCTTCGAATGGCTGCTTGGTTTCGGTTTCCAAACGTTGCAGTTGTAGTAACGTCGCATTTCGATAGCTGAAAAATAAAAAGCAATAAACTTAGCTATGGTTTATAATTCATGCTTTTCCTGATCATTATTTAGTTTGGAACATTAGTAGCCAAGCCCTCACTTTCAATCAAGACAAACATCCTTTCTACAGTAGGGATTTTTATAAGTGCCGCAAGCCTTTGCGGCCGCTGTTGGAAGCTTGTTTACAAGCGATGAGCTGAGTGTGTTCAAGTGTCGGAAGATTCAATCATTGAGTACGATATTTGTCTGTTTGTTTTATATTTAAAACCGTTTGATTGAAATTTTGAACAAAATAAAAAAGAATTAGCTAATAAAAATACTCATGAATCACTGTATATTTTTATGTTCTATAAAATTTGTAATACGGTAAATGAGAAGGATTATAATTTGAAATGAAATTTTAATGTGAATTGAAAAGGTAAATTTTTATAAGCCGTTCTGTAAAAGGGAGAGGGAAAAAATAAACAATAATGTTTTGTGCCGGGAATGTTTCTCATTCTCTTAAAAGTTAGTTTTTGTCTTAAAAATAATGCTTACTGATTGATCTTTGATTTCATTAACCGTGTAAGTTATAATGCAAATAGCAGTTATGCTGACGCGAACTTTTTTTTTTTTTTTTTTTTAAGTTTTTTTTTTTCAAGCATATTCTTAATTTTGGGCTACGGAAAGCTGATAGATCTCTATCGTTTCAGGTTATATATATAGTTAGAGAATGAATCTATTGTATTTCTCCCCTCTCACTGTCAACAAATACATGAAACAGAAGAGCATCTGGTTGGTATTTTTCACTCATAAAAAGATAATAATTTTGTATAATACTATGCTGATATTACATTATTAATAAGAATTTCACTTTGAAATTGTTTTTTTCCAAGCAAACATCTGATCCATATTTGGAGGAAAAAATGTTTCCCTTTAAATTTGGTGTGCAAATGTTAATCACTGCCCTTCAGGATTAATGTTTAAGTGTTGTAATAAATAATGTATTTGTATGTATGGTAATATGCATTAAAATCAATTTATATCTAAAATTACAATTTATATCGGTTGATCTTTACAATATGGTAACTGGTAGTTTGGCGACATTTTGGAGGCGATAAAGGTTACTACCTGGGACTTTGGTAATAATGTGAGCAGTACTCAGTTCCGATTACGCATTATTTTGTGGGGGGGGGAAATGAGAGATCATGGGATATGTCATGTGATATTAATGGACGAATTACGGTTCCTTAATCGGAAAAGGGGGGAATTTGGACAAGTATCTGTGGATGTATATTATTTTGTATTAAGCTTCATTGTGTTTGTGTGAAGTAGGGTTTGAATAATTTTGGGATTGTATGGCGCTCTGTCTAAAGTGAATTGTAGATGTGATAAAGAGAATTTTTTTTTTATCAAATTCGGAAAAAAAATCGTTCAGTAATTTTATTGAATCCATAATAAAAGTGTATCCACCATGTAAGGAAGATCCGGAAGAAGATTAGGTTAGTTAGACTTTGTTAAGAATGTGAGTAGTATTCAGTTCTGATTACGCATTATTTTGTGTGAGGGAAATGAGAGATCATGGGATATGTTATGTGATATTAATGGACGAATTATGTTCTTTAATCGGGAAAAAATCTGGCAATTTTGTATTTGGCTTTATTCTGTGTTGTGTGAAATAGTGTTTGTGAATTTTTGGATCCCATTGCCGTAACTAAAGTGAATTCGAAATGGGTATTTAGTGGTATTGAAAAGGATAGTAATAAATGTTTTTTAAGGTTGTGCGAGAGAGAAATAAAGATGTTTTGTTATGTTATTTATTTTACCTGGTATCTTGCTTTGAAAGATAAGTATGATTTTAAAGATTCTGAAAACAGAAGGAAGAAAGTGTATCTGCCACGTAATCAGATTCTGAAGAAGATTAGGTAAGTTAGTATTTTTAATTATTTGAGGATATTCTTTTTATGCATTGTTGTAAATGTAAGGGTGGAAAGGAATTTGGTATTATTGGGAAAATTGTTATTAGCAATGATTTAGTTTTAAAGTAATTAGGATTGTAAGGTAATTTTTATTAATTTAATGTATGTGCTCATTTATATTTTAAGTAGTGTTTTTTGAATTTAATTATATTTTAATGAAATGATAGTTATTTTGTGAATTTTATGTTTGTAGGAATTTGGTATACGTTTAAGTTGAAATAAACGTGCATGGAAATAATTTAAATATTTGATATTAAGCATTTGTAATGCTTGAGGTATGAATTCGTTGGTGACGTGTATAATGTAATAGATGATTTAGAGGTAAAAGTTTTTGGATATTCTATTTATTTTATATGTGGAAATGTTGATATTTGTAAAGGGTAAATACTTTTTTTTTCGCGATCATGTAATTTCATATATGTTTTTTTTACCGGGTTTAAAGATTGAGAAAATTGTCATGTATTTTCGTGAATTTTTTTTAATTTATGAGAAAAAAGCAGTGTACATGGATATAGTGAAGAGTGTGCGCAATGCCATTTTTGTGCAATTCTGGGATGTTTTTTTAAGTAAAAATAAGTCGACGTGTACATGGTTTAGTGATATTTTAATTAAATGATAGTTATTTTGTGAATTTTATGTTTGTAGGAATTTGGTATACGTTTAAGTTGAAATAAACGTGCATGGAAATAATTTAAATATTTGATACTAAGTATTTGTAATGCTTGCGGTATGAATTCGTTGGTGACGTGTATAATGTAATAGGTGATTTAGAGGTAAAAGTTTTTGGATATTTTCTTTATTTTATATGTGGAAATGTTCATATTTGTAAAGGGTAATACTTTTTTCGCGATCAGGTAATTTCATATATGTTCTTTTTACCGGGTTTAAAGATTGAGAAAATTGTCATGTATTTTCGTGAAATTTTTGTAATTTATGAGAAAAAAGCAGTGTACATGGATATAGTGAAGAGTGTGCGCAATGCCATTTTTGTGCAATTCTGGGATGTTTTTTTAAGTAAAAATAAGTCGGCGTGTACATGGTTTATGTGTATGTGTTATTTTGAAAAATGCGCAAGGAGAATGGTATTGTGCAGTTTTTCCTAATTTTGCAGGGAATATTTGTCATGATTATGCAGTTTTGTTTGATAAAATTTCTAGCATAAGTGTAATTCGGCTAGTAGATTGTTAGAAGTGTTCAGGAGATAAAAAGAAAAGAAACATGTCTTTACTTCGTGAAGACAAAATGGCGGCGGGGAAAAAAATAGAGGGTTGCTGTAGAAGAGTTGGTCGCCAAATTTTCGCCAAAAAATCGCCAAGTTACCATAATGTAAAGATCAACCTTTATATCAATTTCCTTTAAAGGCAAAATGTTTTCATTAAAATTTTAAAAGTTTTTTCTTTTTAAGAGACTTGCTTTAAGAGACATATTAACACTTATATATTGAAGGTATAACGATGAAATCTTGTACTTCAGTATAGCAGATTAAGTAAGGTTTTTTAGATTTTTAAAGTAATAAAAACGAGGTGTAAAAATTAATTTTGTCGTAATTTATTTGGAGGCTTGAAATTCTAGATGCATACCAGACATTTGTCTTATAGCAGCATGTAAGTTTCCATAGAACACAATATCTTAAAAAATTTCTAAAAATACCAATCTGATTTTTGGTTGAAGTTTTTGAGTTGCAGTCTTTAATAGAAGTTTTTGCATGACAGTTCTGTTTCAAAATTGCCATTTTAATTGCTTATTTATTGAAAGCAGATAACTTTTCATCTGAGAAAAGCAGGTGCATATAATCCTGCGTTTTGTTATCCATCCACATAGGGTATGATGAAGTTTCAAAATAAATTTCAACAGAAAAGATGATGGGTTGATAAACTGGTTGTCAGGTAAACAAAATGTTTAAACAAAAAAAAAAAAAAAAAAAAAGTGTTTTTTTTTCCTCTCTTTCCATAGATTTGCTCCTGGCGTTTTGTTCTAGAATTTAAGATTTGGATTAGTTAATGTATAAAATCTTAAAAAATTGTTATTATGTGAATCAACAAATTTATTTATGTGTTATTTAGTTTTTAATCTAGTAATCTATAATCAACATAATTATGTTAAATACAAAATTCATTTTTTAATCATAAAATACCTATTAAATTTGAGTATGATATATTATTAATACTGAGAAGTAATAAAATTAAAAACCTTCCAAATTTGTGCAACAGTGTCATTTTATGCAGAGCCAGTATACTCTGTTGTTTTTATGATGCATTATAATGCCAACAATATAAATTTTTACTTGGATGTGCCTTTCATCTTGTACATTCAGACACAGATGTAGTAGCATAATATAAGCTTTTTCTTGCCATTTAGGGTGAACTTTAATTTATATATATATATATATATATCTCACTTTTTTTTTTATTCTTTCTAGAAGAAGTAAGAAATTTTTAATAATATTTTAGAATACTGATTGCATTTTTTATGCCTATTTTTCATTTCATTATTAAGATTCTTTTGGCTTAGTCAAGTATTGTCATTCCCCTACCTGCTCCGCTGTTGACATTGTTTTGTATTTGGCTTTTTTTATAACTGAATATATTTTTTTACCTTTTTCAAGTAAGTTTCAAACAAAAATTTAAGAATTTTTTTTCCATATTTTTGCCAACTTCTGGTCATTGTTGTTGATTTTGTAATTACATGATGATACCACTTTTGGGCAGATTTGTTTTGAAAATGAATTTTAGTTTTTAATTATTGGCTTTAAAATTCAGTAAATTACTATTCAAAAATTTTTTAATTCTTCCAGAAATAAATTTAGCAAAGTAGTTGATCATTCGAAATTGTGTGCAGCCTGACAAACAGCTATAATTTTACTTGATCCCTTCATTTTTTCCATTAATAGTAATCTCCACTTTTTAACGTTTTTTTGTTTTGTTTTGTTCTTTCCTTTCTAAGGCTTGCTAACCATGATTTTTCATTTCTGTTCTGTATGTATGTTCATATACATACGCACATATACTTTTTTCTTTATTTTTAATAGTGTAAACAAGGATGCAACTTCTGTTAGTATTGAATTGGAACCACAGTACATTAAACATACAATTTTGTCTGAGCTATGAATTATTGTTTAGTATTGATATTTGTTTTATTTTTGTTTATTTAAAAAAATTTTTTTGGGGGGGGGTACTAGTAATCAATCGAATTAAAAAAAGTACAAATAGCTGCACTCTGTGAAGAAAAAATGAAAAAAATTAAATTCTAATATGGTCTTGTATACTGGTTGATGTGAATGGATATAAAAGGAGTGATATCAAAAGACAGTCCTTTATGGCAATCTGCATTCCATAGTATTTCAATTGTCCTGTCCTTTAAAATTTTAATGAGATGTGTAACCACATCACTTTTACTTAATTTGAAGTGATAGATAATAATGGAATTTTCATTATTCTAGTTAGGATAATGATTTAATCAGAGACTGAAAATTATATGCTTGTTTGTTTTTTGGTTAGGTAACAGAAGCAGAGTACTTGAGAGCTATCTGCTTAATAGAAGGATGCTTTCGTTAACAATTTTCAAGGGAAAGTGGCTTGTGCTTATGTAAGACATGGGCAAAGTAGAAAGACATCCATGCAGCCAGTGCATTTGGCAGAATTTAAAGCTGGGTTGAATAGCTGTTGTTCAGCACTTTTATATATTTGGCCACTAGTAGGTGCATTATGCATATGTATTCAGTCATAGAAGTGTAAGAATAAAACTCTTCCAAGCAGGTTTGTCCCTGAAACCCCTAAAGTTTCTTAAAATGCTGTGATTTTCTTAATTACGTTTCCAGAATGACCTCAATTTATAATCTCAGTTTTTTTTTCCAATATGTATATTGCTTGAATTGTATGGCCATATATGATATGGTTACCAGGAATAAAAACGTCGTCATCAGCATATGGCATTTTAACGTACAGTGAATTCATTAAAAAATATTCCACCCATTTTACCATCTTGGCAACATTTCCCCCCTTATTATACCATGTTTGAATGCTACAGAATTTTCATTTCGGCTAATATATGGATTTTGAATTTTGGGTACAAATGCTCTTTTGGCTTATACACAGATCGGCTTATATTCGAAAATGTTCAGTATACATACACTGCTGGCGATTAAAACTACAACTACATGTAGAAAAACAAATACCTGAATCTTATTTATTGTTCATATACAGTATAATGGGAAGAAGACATAACTAAGCTGGCTTGTGGTTTGGGATGCAGTATGCAGAATTCAGTACGCAGAGGAGCCTCCTCTGGGAACAACAACAATGGATGCGACAACGGGGTGCCACTCCTTTGCCAAGTATAATTTGTTGTAGCAGTGTAGGCATGCCTGTGTATGCTACGGTGTTGAGAGAAGTCCCAAATGCTGACAGCCCATGGTGCTACAGATATCGCTTCACTGCTCTTGTGAATCTTTTGTCCTCTACATATGAGCCAAGTTCCTGACTAAGGTAACATGATGTGGCTTATATGAGCCCACAAAGCCGTGAATAGGTTATGTCTGTCCTCTGGGTTATTAGTGGCCCAAGGCCAATGAGATCTCTGGGGTGTTCAGTGGCCCAGGGTCAGTGAGGTCTGCAAGACTGTCAGTATGGCCCTCCTGTATCCATCAAATCTATATTCACCTGATAGTCATGAAATCCCGATAAACGAGAGTAGCAATGTTGTTTAAAGATAAACTGCAATCTCTACAGGCCACAAATCTTGCCATGGTTGAATTCTGACATGTGTTGGTAAAAGTTTTACCTTATTACTTGTAATATGACCTTTATGCAAACAATTAACATCCAAATGCGATTTCCAAATGAAAAACCCCATGGAATGAGAAATTTCTATGGCTATAATGAGAAATATCAGATATGTGTTTAAAAGGATTGATATGCTGTTTTCATAATACATTGACTGTTTGTGTTTTATGCAGCTCACTGTTTCTTAATCAAATGTGAAATAGGAAACTAAGTCCTCATGCTGTTGAATTTTGTACAAGATTTTAATTTGATTGTTTTAATTTCTGCATGTGTGATATGCTTGTAAGTTGATCATGTATAAAATGTTTCTCAAGATCTCCACCAGTAACCAAGTCATTAAAGCTACAAAATATTTGTGATTTGTTCTATATTTGGTTTGCTGCCTGAATGAAGGTTTAATGTTTTTTTTTTTTTTTTTTTTTATATATCTAACATATATATGGAACTGTCTTCATTAAAAAGTCCTCTACAAAGACATCTCTTTTCTGGTAGACTGCATTTCCTGTACTATAAGCAATCAATCCAGTCCTTCATAAATATTAACGATTTCATATGCAAGCAACTTCGCTGTATAGAAACAACCTAATTTTTTATTCAATTTAGCATTCTCTGTGCATATAGAATTGAATTGGAAACACTATTAACTATGGAAAGTTAAAACACTATTTTTTTAGCCCAGAAGTGCTATTAATTTCGTTTTGGCATTTTGTGTTGAAAACTTTATCTGTTTCACTTTTCAAATTGTTACCATCAAATATTATTGCCCTCTGTTATATTTAAATAAATTAAATAAAGAAGAATCTGCATAAATGTATGTATATTTATCGCATTGTGATAAAACAATGGTACCTAGAGACATCAAATTTTGAATAACATTCTCCTCCGCTCAAATATGGGCATCTGGAAGCCCAAATTTGAAATTTGTTTTATTATCGATTTCATATTTGTAACACTTTGATGAATTTTTGATTAAGAAGTTCAACAATTTCAAAGCGAGCAATGACAACACTATACCGGGGAAGGGGGGAATACATTTTTATCTCCACGTGAGGCTGTGTATTGGAAATTCTAAAGATATGCTCGTTTTAAAGTTATTTTGCGATATTGCTGTTGAATTGAATTTTATGCAGTGCGAAGAACATGATGTATAATAAATAAAGGTAACACACAAAATGTTTAAAAAAATACCATTTGGGCATGATGTAAAATCTGAAAGCTTTTACATGAAAAAATATATTTATAATTTTGAAGTTTTAAAATATAATACATTTTACCTCCAATTAATGTAACTGCTTTTCTTTTTTTAGTTATACTGAAAATATGACAAAGAAGTTAATAGGAAATTCAAGTGCTCGTTATCATAAACTTACAAAATTGGATGATGGGTTTGTTGATTTACAGGTGAGATCTTGAAAAAAAAAAAAAAAACATAAGCATGTGGAATGCATCATGCATTTGCATTTCCATCCAATTACATCATTACTGCTAAATTAACACCATCACTCAGTTATTATATGAGTTACATAAAGAAATGAGTTGTCAGGTAGTAACAAAGTATGTGCAGTTAGTGGATTGTTTGCAAAATCTTATTTTCTTAATTCACCTGCAAGAAAAGCTATTTAGTAAACAATGCATGTTCAAGTTTTAAATAGGCATGCGAAATGCATGACACATTTGCATTCCCATTCATGATATATCAGTACTATTAAATGAATGAATCAGCTATTATAAGAGCTGTGTAAATCTAATAAAATCTAAATTTTGAACTCTTACTTCATTTATTATAGAACACTGCTAGGAGAACTGAACTGTATAAAGAGCTAAAGTTACTTACATGTTATGCAACCACCTTGGTGCAACTTGGCATTTTTTTACAAATAAAAGGTATTTGTGCAAGTTGTTGGTTTTCATGTCTTTTTTTCTAGAAAGATTCCTAAACTATCAATATTTTTCATAAGTTGGTAAACATTATTAGCATATGAAAAGGAAACATACTTTAGCAAGTAAAAATATCTGTTTGAATTATTACATAAGGATCTTGTACATTAAAAAATAAAACACTTGCATTCTTCTTCAAACCTTTCTGTAATTTTTTTGTGCTATTCTTCTTCCAAAGTATACAGCGATCTATTTTTTTCTTAAGAAAATCAAAGAATTATGGAAAGGCAATTGTGGCTATCTAGGAAAGACATTTCGTCATTGTTCTGTTTAGAAAATTTTCAGCAAAATTCTGTATTTCTGCAGAAATTTTCCTGAAGTTTCTTCCATTGCTGGCAAATTCTACAAGCTCATATTTTAAAACTAAGGCAAAAAATAACACAATTTGTTTATAAAAACCTCTGAAACTTGGAATGCAACAAAAAATGGAGGTATTGCTTAGCTGAAGGATTGTAATGAGCATGCTTGCCGGAAGAATGGTTATACTGAGGGTTGCCAGAGTTTGACATTCTGTTATGATTCGGTGACTGGTTCTCAGAACTTCTCTTTTTGCTGCATACCTTATTCTTATCTTTGTCTTACAATTTTATATTAATATGAGCGTACTATCCATTACAGTTTGTCTTGCTTTCATTTCAGATAGTATTATGTTTATGAAAAATCTTATTGTTTGTCTGCTTGCAGAAGAATATTTATAGAGAAAGCTTACACAAGCCAGTTTCATGTCTTTTAACTCATCTTGCTGATTTACATATTTTGGCATGTGACAATATGGAGGACGATTTTGTACTGATCACATAATTCTTGTCTTGTATTCACTTCTGGAGTTCACCAAGAGCAGTCTAATGTAAAATGAACTTTCACTATAACAATGCAATTGTGATATGACAATCTTGTGAAAATGAACTGGTGCAAAGCTTTTTCTTTAGTTCTGTGAAAGTTGCTACATTGTTTTAGGATAAAATATAAAATTATATAAGATGTTTGTATTGTTGGATCAGAAGTCTTTCATGGCTGTCTAAACTAGTAAAAATTGTCTTCAACTTTTTTAGTATTTCTCACTTTATCTCAAGATTCTTCAGATATGTCATTTTAAAAGCTTAATCATAATCACTGTTAATTAAACTCATCCTGTATTAAAATTTGTAAGACCTAGCAGTAATTTTCATTAATCACTTTTTAAATATTGTTTTCTCCACATTTTGCTCTGTTATCTGTCTATATTAATACCAATCTCTTTTTTAGTTTCAGAAACCTCAGTCCAAAATTCCTTGGGGTGGAATTATATTAGCCTTTTTCCTTTTCATGGCTGGTACTTTACTTATAACATTTGCTTCATTGCTATTTACTGGTCACATCAATGGTAAGGTAAGATATAATAATGCTTTATGAGATCTTTTCTTTCAAGTAATCAGTAACATTTGTTTAGAATATTACAGACCATATACTTTTTAATGCTTTTTAACCTTTCTTCTCTTCTTATCCACTTTTACTGCATATATCTTTGAATACTTTGAAATCCAAAATAAGTCCGTTTATTGTGTATAGATCTTTCTCTCTTTATATGATTAGATCTTTCTTTGACAGCAATGGGTAATGAATCATTTAAAGGTGGCAGCGCTTGAAAATATTTGAAAAATTACTAAAAAACCTACTAGTTTCTTAAAAAATACACTTTTAAGACAAAAAAATTGACACACCATGAAGGAGTAATGCAAATTGAAGACAAATTGATATGCATGCAAGTTTCAATGGAAAATGCAAAATTTTAAGGTTTAGCAGCCAAAGAATGAACAGGTGATGCTGCAAAGCATCTTAACTATGCAAATGGTAGGATATTAAAGAGGAGAAATTTCCATTTCAGGTCATAAATTCTTTGCAAATTTCATTCCGTGTACTCAGCTAGACAATAACCATGCCTGGCATGCAGGTACATAAACACCCACCAGCGGCCGAATGGCAAACTCGCCGCTGAACACTGGTAGTTCGGTCTGAGGTTCAAATCACATGAACAGGCCGGCTGCTTGGGCGTTTTTGTGGTTTTCCCCCCATGTGTAACGTGTATACGAGCCAGTTTCCCTTAGAAAGTCCTCTATGAAGGCATCCCTCCCCTTAGGCAGATAGCTTTGCTATAATTAAGTAAACCAAACCAAAACCAAGCAGGTACGTAAACAATATGTGCAAATGTCAGCATTTAGAGGGGAGTTGTAGTTGGACTCAAAGAAGCCAGTTGATCTAATTGGCAAATCTCTTAACATTTGAATAGGAGCAATGCCACTATTAGACGATGTGTGCAGGAATGGGTGAATCATGGTCGAACATTGTTAAGAAGGAAGCGGTCAGCAAAGAGAGACAACGGAACATTAGGACTGATCAATCATCAAAGTGGCACTCAGAGCCTCAGATTCATTATTATCATTGATTCTGCATGCAACTGGTGCTTCACTGGCTGCAAGGATAATTTATAGGTGGTTCAGAGAAAGGAGGCTGAGCTCATGCTGCCCCTTGTGGCAACTAGCAATGACCTTTGTACATCGACAAGCCTGTCTGCATTGGTGTCAGGCACATTTGACATGGAATGCAACAGACTTGAAAAAAATTGTCTTCAGTGATGAGTCCCACTTCGAACTGAGCCCCGATGACAAAAAGACTGGTCTGAAAGTGCCCCAAAAGCGGTGGGATACCATCCTGTCACCCACCATATGGCCCGATATTCAGGAATGGTGGTCTGGGGGCCATTTCATTTAACAGGAGGACCCTTTTGTTGTTAGCTGTGAGACATTTACAGCACAAAGGTACATCAATGATGTTCTACACTGCATTGTGTTGCCCTTCATATCATGCCATCCTGGGCTTAGGTTTCAGCAAGATAAAGCCTGCCCGCACATGCTGATAGTTTCTACTGCTTGTCTTCATGCTTGCCTAACACTACCTTCGCCAGCAAGGTCACCACTGGATCTCTCCCCAAATGAAAACATTTATAGCATTATGGGCAGTGCCTTCCAACTAGCTCAAGATTTTGCCAATCTAACATACCAGTTGGACAGAATTTGGCACATTAAGTTCAAGCTTATTTTTTATAAAACTGTCGTAATAATAACAGTCTGCAAAAAATAATAAGCTGGATCAAATTAGAAGATTAGGGAGCAGCGCAGGCTGTTACATTAACTGAAATGCCTTAGAATCAGTAAGGATAATTTTAGCCTAACTTAATAGCATCCAGTATACATTATTGGCTGTGTATCACAAGATTGGCAACGAAAACCAAGTTGTTTCGCTAAATTGTATCTTGCTCCTATTGTGTACTGAATTAAGCCTGAATTATATTAGTTATTTACTATACCTACATTTATTTCTTGCACATGCTTAAAACTAATCTGATTTCTGAATAAATAAAGTCCCACATATACTTAAAGCTTTGTCTAGGACCGGCGCTAGATACCACCTGGTGCAGTTTTTATGGGTCCTAAATTCTGCTACGAGTTCCTAAGTTCTAAATTTTCACTGCGCCTTAACTTTGGATCCCAGTGCTTTCCTTAAATCGTAAAATTCTCATCCCTTAAGTTTGCCGCTTTTTGCTTCCCCAAATTAAAAAAATTTCATCTTCCCTAAATTCTGCCGTCCAGTGCCGACATATTCTGCCGTCGCTTCTGGGTTTATGGTGAATAGCATATCAGTTATTCTTAATTAAAATCATCGTCAAGTGTAATGTTAGCATAAAAGGTTGTCGTACTCTTGTTATTCTATTACTAATATATAAAAAAAAGTTTAGACATCACTGCTTGAGTTATTACTGAAGCTGTCGTGTATTGATAAGCATGCGGTGATAAAAGCAAAATATAATAAATAACTCGCCAGGTTGGCGTCAGGGATATAAAATAGGTGAATGTTTTGGTTTGAGATGTATGCCAAGCAGATACTCAGTTATGGGGCCAAATTATTAATCTCACAAATTTAGGCTTGCGTGATTGTTTTTTCCATAACAAGGTATTTTATTTAGTGACTAAGTGAAATTAGGAATCAGAATTTTTAAGTGAAAATCTCCACATGTTTTATTATGGAAGGAAAAATCAAATAAGCATGCGTAAAGCATATTAAAAAAAAGTTTGTGGCTTTGAGATCATTCTGGATAATGGACGTCTGGATTTCGAACTTTGTTCTGTATATGGTACACACAGGATTTGGCAACATTATGAAGAGCAATAAACGGGTCATTTTGGTGTTGCCCACAATTTTCAAAATCGTGCCAAGGTCGTACCGTATACTAGGATTTATGAATTGGAATTTTTTAAAAACTTTTTGAAAAATTTTTTAAAACTTTTTTTTCTTTTAATAAATGCCTTATTTGTCATTTAGTAGTAAAATAAAAACTTAGTAATCAGTCATGTAGATAATTATATATACTCTTTAACATAATTATATTCGTCAAAATATCGTTGATTATTGTAATTCAGTTTTTAATCTTAAAGCAATTGACTTTATTTTAATGTTATTCATAAAATTTAATGTGGCTTCTTCCTTCTAAATTTATTTATTAGTTAATAATACTTTCAATTTTCAGACATTTTTCTTTGCCTTACTCCTGAAGCGAATTCTAGCAGTACGATGACATACCATCACAAAATTTAATGGACATATTTTTTGCTTATGTATGCTGCTAAATTAATATAAAATACCAGAACTTATTTTAAAATATCATTAAATAAATTTCTTTCTTTCGCTTAGCTGCAAAATGTCTGCAAAAAAAAAAAAAAAAAAAAAAAAAAAAAAAAAAAGACATTTTTTAATTTGGATTGGACAGATACTAATCTCAATCTTGAGTGGAGAAAACTCTTATTATAGTTATAATAGTAATGCTTTGAGGATTATACTGTATATAAGTCATATGTAATTGGCAAATTTTTGTGTTTTCAAATGGTACCATAATTAATTTACCTCACAGCACAGCCAGCGCACATTATGCGGATAGACTGAAATTTTCTTAAAACACAGTTGGAAAACCTGGAAAAGTCAGAGAATTTCATTCTTCTGTTTGAGTGGCAACCCTGTGATGTGGATCAGAGGTGGACGAATGCATTATTGTTTTGTTCAATTTGTGAAATTCATTCTCTTATATAATTCATCCAATTTTTCTGAAACTGTAATTACTTGTTTTTTCTGTACTTGTACATCACATATACTGTTTTTCATCCCATTCTTATAACTTCTTCTTAGTGCATCATTTTTCTGTCTTAGTATAGTGGGTTATCTATACAAGAAGAAATTCATTTTTGATTTTTAAATACTATTTGTTTGTTCAAACTAAAAATATAATTTCTTATTAACATTGTATAATTATTGATATCCAGCATTCAATTTTGATATTTTATTTCATTTAAAGTATATATGAGATTTCTTAGTATGTCAAAATATCAAGATAAATGATATATATATATATATAAAGTACAAAGTCTGAGATCCGGGCGTCCAATATCTGGAATGATCTAAAATCCGGACCTCAAAGGCACCAACTATGTTTTTATTCATTTATTTATTTATTTTGTATGCTTTACGCATGCACATTTGATCCCCTCAGCATAATAAAACATATGGAGAGTCTCATTCATAACTTCACTTAGGCACTAAATGAAGTACCTCGTTATTGAAGAAACAAATCATTTTAGCATAAGTTTGTATGATTAATAATTTGGCTCTGTAGATGCATATCTGTTTGGCATACTTCTCAAACCAAAGCCTTCTACATAGGTACATCGTTGATCATTTTGCTTTCATCACCTCATGTTTATCAACATGACAAATTGCATAATGACTCATGTACAGATGCCTGAACATTTTTTTATGCTAGTACTTGAATAATAAAGAGTATGGTAACCTTTTATATGCTTGTTGATGATTGCAAATTTAGGTTAAATGCTCCAAGAAATGTTGACGGGGAAAAATTTAATAAAAATTTCCTTTCATATGCTAAAAATAGATTTTGTTTATAATACTCATAGGCCAAAAGATTACTTTTAGTGCTATTAATATTAAGAATAACCGATTTATTATTCACATAAACCCAGAACCTGTGCAAGGGCTCATATAGCCACGTCTGGAGGCAGAATTTTGGGAAGGCAAAGGGAGGCGCTTGGTAGTAGAATTTAGGACTAACACAGACTGCATCAGACGGTAAGATATCTAGTGCCAGCCCTCGATAAGCTTTAAGTGTATGTGAGAATCTATTTATTCAGGATTCGGCCTTAAGCATGTGCAAGAAATAGACATAATAAATAACTATATACTAATATAATTCAGGCTTAATTGTCTTTGTGCACGAAAGAAGCAAGATAAAATTTAGCGGAACAACTTATCTTTAGTCGCCGATATCA